TTCTCGCATTTCTTTCTTTGTTCCTTTCAGGTCCTTTCAGGTCCTTTCCTTCCTCATCGTCACAAGAACGCGTTTGGGTTGTCGTTTGTTCGCTCACACCACGCATATTCTGGAGGTGGTCGAGGCCATCTTTCCCATGGAGCGGAACGGATCCGCGCGATCCTCGAGCGGTGCTAACCTTTGGCACCTTTGTTACTACTAGCGTGGCACTTGTTACTACTAGCTTCTTGTTACTACTAGTAAGGCACCTGTTACTACTTTAGCTGAGCGATGGCCTCTTCCTCACTTCTAACGAAATGTGAGGACGTAAGGACTGAAAACTATGGGAACATAAGAGCGATGGCCTCCAACCTAGTAGCGCTAATGACGCTCGTGGAAGGAAAGCGATTTTTGGCCTTTTGAAATCTGTGGCCTGCTTGGTCATATGAGGCCTTTCTGGGAATCACTGGCCTAACCAGCGTGCAGCGAGCCAGAACCCTGGCCTAGTCGTTCACCATCCAACAGAAGACTTGAACGTTGATGTTTCAGTCAAGTGATCTAAGGATGATATGAATACCGCAAAAAAAGACACTGACAAGATATGCATATAAATGCATATCATATTTTCGAGATTAAGACTCAGTGACTTGAATGTTGGATTTGAGGTCTTCAAACTCGCAACTGCAGCAGAAGTCCAGAGGCCTTGGGAGTGCTTGTTGGGGCTAAAGAGGCTTTCTTTCAAGCTACTATTCCTTCGCTCTTAGGTTGAAGGTGATGGCTACTAGGGTGGCTTTCTTTCAAGCTGCTATTCCTTGTGTGTTTGAACAAATAGTAATGGCTGGCACACCAACGGTTGAGAGTGAGACATAAAGAGACATCTCTTGGCAGGTTCGAAGAGGAAAAACAAGTACTGTCAGGATTGGATGAGAAGGAGTCTTTCACCTACCAGTTTTTTCCGATTGGGCAATGTCAAAAGCCTTACCGGTGAGGACTTGTATGAAAGAAAAAAGAAAGAACGCAGGAAAGAATGATCCAACGGTCTAAACAAAAAACCGTCTGAAGGTCTAAGGAAATATAGAGGAAAGAGTCTTGGACTTCTATAACTATCTCCAAAAGTCCTCTTGAAAGGACCCCCAACTAAGAAACATGCTCAGAATGATGCACTCTCTGATGGCATGTGACTTCTCCCACACTTTCAGCTGCCATACAGCGCATCAATACGCATCTGCCTCATGCATGTTGGCAGACTGTGTAATAGCTTGGAGGCCATCTCTCTCAGGTTGGAGGCCATTGCTATTAGGTTGGAGGCCATTGCTAGTAGGTTCCCTTAGTTTTCAGTCCTTACGTCCTCACGTTTCTTTGTTAAAAATAGGCGGACGTGTGCCAACGGAGGAAGAACATTTTATCCTGTTTGGACACAATCGTTTCTATCAACTTGCTGTTGTTTGATATGACACACGTCTAGGTTCTGATGCTTCTTTTTGGTCTTCAGTCAAAGCTCCAAGCGCGTTCATTTTGTGAGGCTTAAACCCAATCAGCCGGAAGTGTTGACGAAACAAAGCAAAGATGAAACTGCTTTGACAAACCAAGAAACATGCAGATGAGTTTGAACACCTTGCCTTGGTGTTTTGGCTTAAACAATCAAGAGGAATTTTGAACTTTTTTTTGTTAATCTTCAACCTCTTCAATGTGCTTGAGAACAAAGTTCCTCATAATTGATTTGAGCACATCTCATGCAGTTTGCACAGTTTGCATTTCGATGTGGACTTCTGGTTCCCTCAACTAAGCAACCTTCTGTTGTGACCTGTATTACCTGTATAGTGAGCTTCTGAATCATGCAGAATCTCCACAAGAAGACTAGGAACATTAGTGCGAGCGCCGAGCGTGAGCTATCCCGTCCATACTAGTAGCTTACTCCCTTCACTTAATTAAGTAGGCGCCTACTTAATTAAGTGAGGAGGGGAGGGAGTGGGCAAAAAATACATAGGAGCAGGAAGCTACCAGTAGCTCCTGGCATTACTACCAGTAACAAGAAGCTACTAGCAACAAGGGCATCGCTACTAGTAACAAAGGGCATTACTACTAGGAGCAAATAGCAACTATCCTTCAGTTTCCCTTAACATCTAGAAACCAAATCATTAGCGCGAGCTATCCTGCGTCCAGTCGGTAGTAGCCATTGAAACTACTAGCGACTCCCTAGCTACTAGCTACCTACCTACTAGGGGCCTACCCGTCTCGCGCGGCGCGCGCGAAAACGCTACTATTAGCTACCTCTAGCTTCTAGCTACCTTTTAGCTACCTCCACTCGCGGCCTATCCCCCCCTTATTTTTTTAAAGATACTATAGGCTATAGGAGCAAATATAACACTAGGAGCCAAATAGCTCCTAGTATTCATACACTTTCGTCGACACGTTTCAGACCTCAGCCCAAACGCGAGGACGGCTTTGTGCATCTGAGCGATGCTTCTGCCGCTCGGATGGTGGCAGAGCGCTTCTTTCCAGGGCAGGAGCGTCTGAAACGCGTCTAAATGGTGTCATTTTTGCGCCGCGGTCAACATGTACACTCGTTCTTGCCATGTCACCGGCTTTGGTCTTAACTCCCCTCGCCACGATTAAAACAAAGAGGAAGGAAAGAAGAAGGCAACAAAGAGAAAAGAAGAGAAAAAGGAAGCACCTGTGCTACTAGGTTGGAGGCCATCGCTACTAGGTTGTAGGCCATTGCTATTAGGTTGGAGGCCATGCACTTGTGCTTTAGCTTTGGACTCAATGCCCCTCACCGATTTGTCTTCTCACTGCTGTGTCACATGGAAGACGCGTTGATGACCAGGACCTGACTGTGCTGGAGCTGGACTTGGACCGCATTCGCTTTGCTTGCAAGAAAGCATGCCTTTCACATCTTTTCACTAGCACCAAGGGATAGTTCAGGCTAAGATTATAGGTGTTACAAGAACGTACTTGAATTTCTTCTGTTGTGTGTTCTAATTACGTGTAGGTTGGAGGCCATCGCTACTATATAGACTTGTAGTTCAACCGGATTGGCGAGGAGAAGCTGCCACAACCCATTCGATGGATTCAGGGGACCATGACAGATCCTGAACCGGAAAGATCACTCAGGCACGGTGACAGAGTGGGCCTGGAGCCCCATTCGTAGCGTGGCACTTGTTACTACTAGTAAGGCACTTGTTACTAGAAGCGATGCACTTGTTTCTAGTAGCTTCTTGTTACTACTAGTAAGGCACTTGTTACTAGAAGCGATGCACTTGTTTCTAGTAGCTTCTTGTTACTATTAGTAAGGCCAGGAGCCCCTAGTAGCGTGGCACTTGTTACTAGCTGATGCACTTGAGAAGCGAGAGTTTGCAGATTTCACCTCACCAAGTGTTATGCATTCTTTTTGTATCTACCCAAGTATGTCCATACATGGATTTTTCTTGCTCAACAAATTGTTTCGGGGCCTCAATCAACACTCGCAAACGAGGACAGTTGCTGTTTCTCGCCCGAACGAGCTTGATAATGAATGTTTTTGGTATGCATGCCTCACTAGTTTTGAGTTGTGAGGCAGCAGGCTTCCAGTGTCTCTTGGCCACATTGGTTGTCAGAGCATATCCAGAGTTGTAGGACTGCCGAAATGGGACTTTTGATTATGGCATATTATGGCGCCATCTGCGAGAGGAACCTGTAGTTGATACAGGTGCTGGATTACCAACGCGCGTTTTGTTGCTGAATCAACGACTTCGTTTTGTTGCTGAATCAACGACTTCAAAGATCACACCTAAGGCAGCAAGATCGCACCTAAGGAAGCTAAAGTGTTCGAAAAAGAAAAAACTTAGGATCCCAAGTATGAGCACAAGAAAAATCAATGACACTTAGGATCCAAAAGCGATGGGGGAAGTAGAGATCTTTTGATTCGTTCTTCTTTATAGACAGCGCTCCTAGGTGGTGCACTACTTGAAGCCGGACGGATGCGTCCATGTCTATGGGACAGTGTCCATGGAAATGGTGGTGCAGAGTGCAGCGGTCTGCTGCCAGGAGATGGGTGGGGAATTGACAACAGCAATATGGTTTTGTTAAATTCCAGACCTAAGGCCTTTAGGGAAAGTTTCCTTGCAGTTTGAAGTGTGAAAGCCAAGACCAAACACCTTAAGTAGAAGCGCTCTTGTAAATCGAGTGAGATGTAGCAAGTGCTATTATCCAGACGAAGGCTTTGAAGAATCCTTTTTTCGTACAAGTTAAGCTTAGAAGGATGAGGGAAAGGAGCCGGGGAGGAGAGGACTTGAAAGGAGATCAGCACGAGGAACCACGAGGAACCTGTGTATGTTTGTTTAGCTTCGTTCTTGTTTCCTCTTCTGTGTTTTTGCCTTTAATTTGTCTTTTTAGACCTTAAGGACGCTACTAGGGGCTCCTGGCCTTACTACTAGGAGCAAGGACGCTACGTTCGGAGCTTTCTTCCTTTTTCCTCTTTTTCGTTCTTCCGCTTCTTCTGCTTCTTTCGTCCTCTGTAGTGCGACTTTGGCATCGCCTCAAACCATCGGACTCTGCTGCATAGGACGGCAAGCACAGCTTCCCTGCCTGGATGTGAATGGGAGAGCTTGGCGTCCTCATCATTTTCATTTGACCGACCTAGAGCGATGGCCTCCAACCTACTAGCGATGGCCAAAAAGGCGTTCTAGGCTCTTCAGCGTACCAATTTTCTCCCACAAGAGCTTTGGGATTGAAATGTTTGCGCACACAAGCGGCGCATTTCGTTTTGCTTGGCATGCCTGCGTGGCCAAATGCAGTACACCGATCCTGCGTCCTAGCAGCGGCCTACCCTCATCGCCCCCCCGGGCATCGCTACGAACGGAACAAGAAGCTACTAGTAGCTCCTGGCGCACGCGAAAAAGCTCCTAGTAGCCTCCTTGGATGCTAATTAAACTTAATTCTTATTTCTACTAGCTTCTTGTTACTAGTAGTAAGGCCCTTTGCTCCTAGTAGCGATGCACTTGTTCCTAGTAAGGCCAGGAGCTGTTACAGTTCCACCTGAGGCCCCGATCAGCTGCGGCCTCATGGACCTCGTGGAGTCCCCTGGCCGCCGCAAAGCCTGGCCCTGAAATCCGCTCTTTCGGACTAAACGGCTACGTACTAGGGGCTTTTAAAGTTAGACACGGCTAAACCAAGTTTCCTTGTTTTGTATTCTAATATTTCTATTTCTGTTTATTTCTCCTACCTTTGAACTTTTCTTTCTAGCACATGAGACGACCTCCTTGTCCAGTTCAACGTTGCTCTTCACCAACGCTAGTTTTAAGTGCACATGTGGGTCTGTGGGTGGTACGGTGGTACCCTTATTGCAGGTGGACCATTGCTTGCACTCCTGATTGCCGCGCTGCAACTGGGAGCGAAATTTTTGTTTTTGGTTGGATCTCTCTGGAGGTTTTTGTTGGCCGGATCAACTAGTAGCTTCTTGTTACTAGTAGCGTCCTTGCTCCTAGTAGCGATGCCAGGAGCCCCTAGTAGCGTCCTCTTGCTCCTAGTAGGATCAACTTGACAAGAACGGAACATATAGTCTTCTCCATAAAACTTCCTCAGAGATCAGCGTGTCACCAGGTTATGGGCTGCTAAAAGCAGTGACCAAGGGCCGCTTAAAGTGAGCTCCAAAATTGGGAGTGACATAGCCAGTTTTTGATGCGGTCTTTATTTTGATGCAAATCTTGTTTCATTCGTTCACCTCAGTAAAGCACCCTAGTCAAAGAAATGCTACTAGTAACAGGGGCATCAGCTACTAGTAGCAATTTGCTACTAGTAGCTTCTTGTTACTAGTAGCGATGCACCTTGTAAAAGTCAAACAACACTTTTCTTAACTCTTCAACATCGAGGCAAACTGTCGAACTGCAGACGCTTTTGCTCAAAGCACCGCTCCCAAGGCTTGAGACACGAGAGGAATGACATGTTTTTCCGAGAAGAACTAGTAGCGATGCCCTTGTTACTAGTAGCGATGGCCTCCCACCTAGTAGCGATGATTGTTACTGGAATTGAAGTGTCTTTCTTCAAATGTCCGTTCTTTCAAAGCAACAACAAATCAATTGCGTTTGTTCAACCTTCAAAAGCGCAAGAACCTCGAAAAGCCGAACTTCCCAAGCTACGGAACTTGTCCACCCTGTGTGGAAGACAGAAAAGCACTCCGACGGTCTTAGTCCTTCTTGGAAAGAGATTGAACCTCGGACTTTGCACGCTGGTGATGTCCAGTCGCACGTCCCTCACTTTGCTCAACAAGGAGATGTGTTTCTTGAGACAGAAGGGTGAAGACAGAAGTGACAGAAGGTCGAAGAGTTGTTGTTTGTTTTTTTTCAAACATAGGAACCACATGATTAGTGCGAGCACTACTTCAAGGAAGCGCTCCGTTGAAGCGGGAGCTAAGCCTGCGTCCTACCTAATAGCTAGCTACTAGCCTTACTTCATGAAGTAGGCACCTACTTCGAGGGCACGGAGCGTCAGGAAGCGTAGCGTCCCTTGCTCCTAGTAGCGATGCCCTTGGCTGCTAGTAGCAAACATTGTTCCTAGAAGTAAGGCCAGGAGCTCCTAGTAGCGTGGCACTTGTTACTACTAGTAAGGCACTTGTTACTAGAAGCGATGCACTTGTTACTAATAGCGTCCGATTGCTCCGTTCGTAGCGTCAGGAAGCACTCGAAGAATCCCAAACTCGACTTTTTGCTCGCATTGCAGGCACGCGCCATTCGACTGGTCGTCCGCTCGCATCGGTTTTGGTGGATTGCATCAGTTTGGGTAGCCTCCTTGTTCCTAGTAGTATCCAGGAGCGCCCCTAGTAGCCTCCTTGCTACTAGTAGCGATGCCCTTTGTTCCTAGTAGCGATGCCAGGAGCTACTAGTAGCTTCTTGTTCCTAGTAGTAAGGCCAGGAGCCCCTAGTAGCCTCCTTGCTCAGATGCGTTGGAACTTGCTCAGAACTTCTACAGCATCATCAAGACCGCATCGAAAAGAAGTTCGAGAGCCTGGATTCAAAGGCCGAAAGTTCGAAAGAGTAGCGTCCTTGCGGCACTAGGAGCGATCGGACGCTACTAGAGGCTCCTGGCCTTACTACTAGGAGCGATCGGACGCTACGAACGGGGCTCCTAGAGCTCTACTAGCCTTGTCACGAGCTGAATATATATTGGCGGTTTGTGGGTGAGTGCTCAGTTTTGTCGATATTGTGCCAGGCTGGAGATCTTTCACCTGGCTTCAGGCAAGCTTTGCGAGAATTAGTAGGAGCGATCGGACGCTACTAGGGGCTCCTGGCCTTACTAGGAACAAGAACGCTACTAGTAACAAGTGCATCGCTTCTAGTAACAAGTGCCTTAGTAGTAACAAGAAACTACTAGGGGCTCCTGGCCTTACTAGGAACAAGAACGCTACTAGGAACAAGTGCATCGCTTCTAGTAACAAGTGCCTTACTAGTAGTAACAAGAAGCTACTAGGGGCTCCTGGCCTTACTACTAGGAACAAGAACGCTACTAGTAACAAGTGCATCGCTTCTAGTAACAAGTGCCTTACTAGTAGTAACAAGAAGCTACTAGGGGCTCCTGGCCTTACTAGGAACAAGAACGCTACTAGAAGCAAAGGGCATCGCTTCTAGTAACAAGTGCCTTACTAGTAGTAACAAGGACGCTACTAGGGGCTCCTGGCCTTACTAGGAACAAGAACGCTACTAGAAGCAAAGGGCATCGCTTCTAGTAACAAGTGCCTTACTAGTAGTAACAAGGACGCTACTAGGGGCTCCTGGCCTTACTAGGAACAAGAATGCTACTAGGGTGGAGGCCATCGCTAGTAGGAGGAGTGGCCATTGCTTTTCACCCTTCCGACGGGTCAAACGCCCATCCTTCGACACGGCGCCTTCTGCGCCGTTTTTGTCGTGTTGCGTCTGGCCATACAAACAGAATGAAGCATGGCCATGTAGGGTCTCCAACCTAAGAGCAATGGCCTCCAACCTACTGGCGATGGCCTCCAACCTGGAAGCAAGGGCCTCCGCTATCGCAGGCTGGGGCACGACCCCTCATAAAAAGAACATGCTTTGACGGTTATCAAAAAGAAATGGGCAAGGCTTTCGCAAAAGGTGATGCATCAGCACTTTGTACAAAGTGTATTTCCTGATTTCGTGCGACTACCATGAAATCACAGTTAATCCGTGATCAAGATCTGTGAACGTCCCCACAAAATCTGCACGTCAAAGCAGGATTGTATCCTGCGTCCTGCGTTTGCCACGAAGGTGGCTGCAGCAACTGCACCACAGCCAAAGCGCAAAGCCAATCTGCCTTCTTGATCCTTCTTAGATGATCCACTTGCAATTAGGTTGGAGGCCATTGCTTCAAGGTTGGAGGCCATCGCTAGTAGGTTGGAGGCCATTGCTAGTAGTTTGCTCCCACAACTTTCTTTGCGTACAAGTTTCATTGGAAAGCCTTACTGTTGCTCTTCCTGCTGCTGCACATATTCCTACTCCCCCCGTTCTTCCTTCTCAACACTTTAATACATTCAGGTGAGGTTGGGGCCTGTCGAAAAGCAATCAAATTAATCCCTCTTCATTTGCATCGTCGCTATAATTGTGAATTGTGGGTTCAAGGCTCAGCCCCAAGCGCAAACTCTGATGCGCTCAGGCTCATTGACACCCGGACATCATTACAACCAATTCCGCCCGCAGGCATGGCAAATGTGGCATAGCATTAAGAAACTCAACTGAAGATCAGTTGACCAGGTGATGATTGTCCAGAGCAAAAAAGGCTGGTGCATTCAGATGAAAGTATGTTCTCTCAAGGAAGGCCTGCAGTTTGCTTGGTAAGGTCTCCCATCCACAAGGAGACCAAGGCACCGTAAAGCAACACATGAAGTGAGAGTGGACGGTAAGCGAGAGTATCGGCAGTGGGAGTAGAAGTGCGGCAGAACATTTTCAGGACGAGACTGCTCTTGCGAGACCCATGAGGGTATCGTTGGGATTTATGATGCTCAGCTGAATGCAAGCCGACGGGGAACATGAGAACAACAGCAGAGAGGGAAGATCTCCAAGGGTAAAGGTGATTCTTTGGTCTTGTCATATCATCGTTTTCTTTTCTTTGCATTGACGATATGTGTTGAATTATTTGTCTATATAGTCCAAAACAAACTAAAAGCTTCCATCTCAGATGTCCACAACCCAGTTTGTTCCTTCTCCTTACGTCACAGCTCAAGGCCCAACGAATATCAGTCGGAAGTTTCGCAAATGAGCGGATATAGTCCTGCAAGCTCCACCAGCATGAGTGGCATCGAGAGGGCCCGGGGACTCAGCAAGATTGCGGGGAACCAACAGACACGGATTTCATGTAGCGAAAGAAAGGAGAAAAAGTGGCCACCCAGTGCTTGTCCAACTTGCTCCTAACTAGTAGTAACAAGTGCATCGCTTCTAGTAACAAGTGCCTTACTAGTAGTAACAAGTGCCTTACTAGTAGTAATAAGAAGCTACTAGTTTCTTTTGAATCGAACAGACATCACGACGCCAATTTTCATTGCATCCATGTGTTCAGACTTCAAGCTCAAGCGCTTGCCAGGGAGACCGGCCGAAAAAGGCAGGGCTTTCGCGAACAAAAACAATGGCCACTCCTCCAACCTAGCGATGGCCTCCACCCTAGTAGCGTTCTTGCTCCTAGTAGCGATGCCAGCAGCCCCTAGTAGCGTTCTTGCTCCTAGTAGCGATGCCAGGAGCCCCTAGTAGCTTCTTGTTCCTACTAGCGATGGCCTCCAACCTAATAGCAACGGCCTCCAGCCTGACCTACTTGCTCTTTCGAGAGCCCGTACTGGTGTTTTTGTGAGCGCTTGATGGGACTTGCAGGTAGCTTCCAGAAACAGGGACTTGGAGATCATGCAGGATTTGCTGCGAATGCGAATTTTGTTTGTTCAGATAATGAAGTAGCGATCGGCAAGCGTTCTTGTTTGCAAACACCAGTGACTACCACAGGAGGCTTCTTTCGATTCAGCATGTTTTAGCATGTTTTAGCAGCATCACTGCAGGCTTGCAATGCTTTCTTTAACCCATGCTTTCTAGACACTACCTTAGTGCTACGTTCGCTGGCCGCACAAAACTTGGAACAAGAAAAAGACGCTTTTCATTGAGACAGCTCTTTCAATCTTGTACATAAGTAAAATGAAGGCCATCCTTTTTGTTTCTTTCATGGCTGGTTGAAGGCCATCGCTAGTAGGTTGGAGGCCATCGCTACGCTCGCAGGGGCAAATGCGGATGGCCGCCTTGAGACGCCAATCCACCCGGATCAGCGGAAGGTCACGCAAAGGCCCAGGCGGCCCAGGCGGCCCAGGCGGCCCAGGCGGCGGGCTTGGCATCAGTCAGGAGATGGAGGAGTCAAG